TATTTTCAGCGCATCCATAACACAACATTTATGCAAAATACAAATACAAGCACAAATGAAAGATCTTTTTCCTCTTTGTGTTTGATCTTTGTAACAAATGGAAATTTATATAGAATGCTATAATCACTTGATATATATATATATAACGTAAAAATGCAAAAATATATAACTAACATGGCTTCACCACACAGGGACGGTTGAACCTTTTCACCCAACTCGTGTGGTTCCTAACTCTCACTTCTTACTCTCTTCAGCGTATGTCAAGCAAATGAGCAATCAAAGGTAAAGTAATCTTATATGCATCAACCTTTTTTAAATATTCACATGCTCTCCACTTCTTTTTTTTAAAAAAATCCTAGAATTCCCTTAGGTCAAAGTCTCGACACCATGTAAATTTGAATATTCTTATCATTTAAACTATTTTCGGAAAGTCAAATACAAAGGTCCGCACTTGAGGCGATTCGTTCCTTCGCGTGGACTACCATGCAGAAAATATTAGGTCAATACAATTATATTTATTATAGAGGAGTAACATATCTAGCTTGTTTTAATATTCTTAGTTTGGCGTATAGCTTGATTAGATTCTCGGTTATCTCTAATGTTTTCTTGATAAATTATATAAGCTTGGAAAAAACGCACTATAGAAAATAGTATATGTAAGCATAATGCACCTAACCCCACCATGTTTACATTTCATATAAAACCTTTGATCGTACTGTAAAACGCATCTTGTAAGTTGTCAAGATACACTCATAGTACACTCATAGTTATAAAAGCATAATCAATAACAGAAAGGGATATAACCTATACTCCAAAATAATAATAAAAATCTGAATAGTTGTTAAAATACCAAAATCTACTGGCAACACCATTGATGAAAATAACAGGTCAAGATAGAGACATAGTAAGATGCGGAAAGGGTTCAATGAAAGTTTCGATGTGGAAATGTTGTGCGATTGACACAAATGCTGGGTGAAGCCGCGTTTGGCACACGCAAAACTATATATAAGTCCATGGATTATACAGTTTTGTTACCATGTTTTAAATAAACTCGCAAACAAATAATCTATTAATTAATATTTTATATAACAATTGAAAACATTACCAGCTATGTCATGTGTTATCATCAAAATAATTTTTAAAGTCTTTAAAAATAAGCTTAAATTAATAATAATTACAATATATATACATTCATTATTTGATACATCTAAACATATATAGTATAATATTTTTAAATTAATATACACTAAAAACTCTATAAAATAATATAATTTTATAGTTTCATATTGACTTTTTCGTTCAATTAATATATCGATAAATTAATAATCTCTATAACTTAATAAAAAATATAGTTTTGGTGTAATTCCAACATTATTAATTTATAGAAGTTTCACTGTATTATACTTCTTACTAAATTAACCATAAAGTTAATTATTAATTTACAAAACTATTCATTTACAAAATAAAAATGATAGAAATACGAAATATAATTAAATATATATGAGCACTAATGATTTTGAAAAATAAAATTTTGATAATAATTTATGTATATTTTATTATTTTATATTTGTAAACAAAATGAAAAATCACATTAATCATATAATTAATCTATATTTTCCATATATATTATGTTTTAAAACTTAAATGATCATAGACTACTAAATCTGTTAAAATTCTTACCTTGTAAATTTTATGATCAATTTTAAATTTTGTTGCTATAATAAGATACAAATGGTTGTAAATCCATATGATTATAAAGCTCATTTAATAGATATCTAGATTAAACATATATATATATATATATATAAGTTAATATTATTTAAACTAAACTATATACCATATAAACGTTCATAATAATGAAATTGATCAAATTATTAAAATATATTTAAACACTTATATATTTAGCATACATTTTTCAAATATTTTATTCTGCGCTTAATGTGGATTATTAACTAGTTCCCCCTGCTAGTGTAGTGGTTTTGAACCATTATTTAAACCATTTCCTTTTATCTAAGCCAACTATTTTCCAGGACCAACACTTGTCAAGTCAAAATTTGCAATAATCAAAAAAGTGAGACGAGACGTACGTCTATAGGATATTGAATTTCATCATTTGTAAGTAAATTTTTTAATTGATTAATTTTAACTTACATGATCTTTCTAAGATAAGAAGTAATTAAATTCGGTAGTTTGTTTTGGGACTAGTTTTCATTATAGTATTGAAATAACAATTCTGATGGCACTGACTATTAGGGTTGGACACAGATACTTGATACTTGGCTTGTACTCGTTACCAGTGGCGAAACCACTTAAGGTACTATGGAGGCCTGTGCATCCCGAAAATTTATTTATGATGTAATTTTAATGTAAAAAGGCATAATAATTTTTTTAGAACGGGAGGAAAAGCTGTATTTGTGCACCATAACAACCCAAGTTCAAGCCTCCCTTTTAACTATTTCCATTTTATCACTAATAGTGCACCCATTGAATATATATGCTGGTTTCGCCCCTGCTCGTTACTTAACTAGGTTCGGTTTGAAAAAATAAGTACTTGTTATAATCAAGTCGAGTAGCAAGTAAACAGATTTTATTAGTCGCAAGTACAAGTCAAGTATCAAGTCCACTTTTATTTTTAATTACTTGGTTTGTTAATTGATTTGTTACTTGTTATCATTTACTTGTCCCATTATTTGTTATATATTATTTGGTTTATTAAATATTTAATATCCATTTTATTAGTTAATTAAAATTTATGTATTACATTTTATTGATGACTATAATTACTCGTTGTTTGTCTCTTATTCGATACTTGATAGATACATGATCATTAAAAATTAATATTTGTTATGAACAAATTAAGTACCAAGTAATTTATTTAAATTATTTTTTGTTTGTTACTTGTGTTTGTTAATGAACAAAGATATATTTTTTTCTAAATCATAGTAAAATAATTAGTTTCTATTCTTATTTTGATAAGTACATCAAACATAAGTGTTATATTTATATAAACATCTTGAAGTTTTCTCTTTTTTATATAGGTCATTTTCTGAATGAATTCTTTTTTTGATAGCAACATAAAAGATTCATTTAGATTCTGAAAATCAAACTGGTACAAGTACAAGAAAACAATGACATATTACTTATATAATAAATTTATTTAACTTTAAAATATAATGAACTATCAAATAAATTTTCAATAATTATGAATGAATTTATAAGTAATTTACAAGTAACAAGTAAAAAAATAAGCTAAGTAACTTACAAGTCCATCAATTATTTGCAAGTTTTTAAAACTACAAATACAATAAAACCTCTATAAACTAACAATATTAGGACTTTGAAATTTAATTTATTTGTAGCGATATTAATTACAAAAGTTTCCTTATTTAGATTTTTCTATTTTTTTTTTTAAATACAAATATCTGATTTTAGTGTATGTACATTATTTAAATTTTAGAATTTTGACTTTTCTATTATTTTTTTGTTTTATTTGGTGTGTATTTTTATGTTTCATAGAATTGTTACGTGGTTTTCGATATAATTTAACTATATAATATCAAAATATATTGAAATGTTAAAAAATGAAAAAATATTTTTATTGTAAATATTAAACCAATAATATAATGTTAGATTGTACTTATATAAAATTATATATAGATAGATTAATAATTTATGATTTTAATGGGACTATATATTTATATGGAAGTTTTAAAAATACTATTATCTTATTATTTTATTGATATGTGTCATATTTTACCCCGGTCCAAAATGGAATCGGAGAAATTATTAATTTATAGAGATTATTAATTTATCGAGTATTAATTTATCAAGGTTATACTGTACTTGTTTTTTTGTAAACCAAATATAAGTCAAAATATTTACTACTCGTATAAGCCAAGCTGTGTATTAAGTATACCGAAAATATCGAGTACTCCGCTTATGCCCACCCTCACTGACTATAGTAGTGCAAAAGAATCAGTAAAAAAAGAGACTAGTATGTTTAGTTCATTAAAGTATTTTATACACATTTTGGTTTTGGTTTGACCCGATTATATATTTTTCCTTTTTTTAATTATGACAATTATATATTTTTAGTTTTTTTTAATATGTAACTTAAACTTAAAATTACAAAATATGTTAATTCACTAGTTCTTTTAATTTTTATTTTATATATAATGCAAAAAAATATTTTGCAAAGTAAATTTGTATCAAATTTTAAGATTATTTGTATTAATCAAAATTGATGAGATATCCGTAAATATCCGCAAATATCTATTTATTTTCTGGATATCCGTTTTTCTGGATACCCGTATTTTTGCGAAATAAAGCAAATATCAAAATTAGATATCCTTAACATTCGAATCATATCACAAATACCTTAAAGAATTTGGATATCCGATCCGTGCCCAGCCCTAATTATAGTAGTATTATTATATCATTTCCACATTTTGGTCAATATGTATTTGGAGCTGACCAAAAAAAAAAACAATGCTTGTATTGGAAATAGATGGATGATTTGTCTGAAAAATCAAAATGACGGTAGGGAGGATAAAACTAGAAAAAGCGATAATATTAATAATAATACGACCGCACATATTAACTTAAATTAAATTAAAAAAATTGTGAAAATTAAATGTCCTCGCAAAAAACAGATTCGGACAATCTTCCAAACTTATATTAATTTCCTTCTTCTTCCTCTGTCTGTGCCACAGATCTTCCCTTTCCTTCAATCTACGCTTCTTCTTCTTTTTCTTTTTGTCAGAAAAAAAAAGATAAAATAAATCAAAATCAAAAACTGGTTTTGTTTATTCTCAAAGAGAGTGTGAAAAGAACTTGTGGATTGTCTCATGTGCTCATCTTCTTCCTCTTCTTCGTTTCGTGAGCTTCCCAGCATCAGATAAAAAGCATCGTAGAACGGAATTAAAGAAAAAAAAAAACAAATCCCCACATGTAAGAAAATTAGCACAAAACGGAACCTGCATGTCTTGTCCTTTCGTTCTATGATTTGATTTTTTTTTAAAAAATCATTATAAGGTTAGGTTTTTTATGCTTTCATGGCTTTGAATTCAAACTCGATTTTCGATCCAGATATCTTTTTTAAAAAAAACTTCTCGATTCCTTAACATTTGATCGGGATCTATGCTGTTCGATTGATTCTAGGTATTTTTGTATTTTTAAAATTTTCATAAATTATTTTACTATTTCCTCTTCTTCTTCGTTGATTTTCTCAGAAAATTTTAAAAAAACTTTCTCGGTTGTTTTCTCTCCAGGCAGCTTTAAAGAATCCATGGAATCCCTAATCGAAGAAGAAGAATCTCGTTTTTTCGACGCACACGAAGACATCGCGTCCTGTTCCACCGCAATCTCCTACTACGACGCATCTCCACCGTCCATCTCTGCCTACGACGTTTGGATCAAAAGTCCAGGAAACGCTGAAGAGCGTCGTGAGAAGTTCTTACACTGGATGGGAGTAAACGTGGAGGAGGATCAACCACCTAAATCAGACAATGTGGATTGTTTCTCAAACTTTTTTAGTGAAGCAACAACGGTTCTAAGGAGTTTGAGATCCGAAGACGAGTTCAGCTCTTGTCGTTGTGATGATTCCTCTGTCTTTAGTCCAACAAGTGATAATGTAAATAGAGCTGTAAATGAAGTAGTGGTTGAGGAGACAAGTAATGGAATGGTACAGTATGATTACATTAGCTCTAGTCTTTGTTCAACGGATCTGATTGAACCTAAGAAGGTTAACCTGATGATCTCGGCTTCAGCTTCAGAACAACATGACGTTGGAGGAATCATGAAGAGAGTTAAGGAGAAATGGTTGTCTCGGCTGCATAAAGCGCGTAGTAGCAAGGAGAAAACAGAGGATATTACCGGTGAGAGTAGTAGGATAGAGAGAGTTAAAGTGAAGGAGTATAAGAAAGAAGCTAAGGAGCTTTCTGCTCTTTTCAAGGGTCAAGAGATACAAGCTCACGAAGGAGCTATTCTCGCTATGAAGTTTAGTCCTGATGGGAGGTATCTTGCGAGTGCAGGTGAAGATAAGGTTTTGCGTGTTTGGAGCGTTGTTGAAGATGAAAGATGTGAAGAACATGATGTTCCTAAGATGGATCCCACTTGTATTTACTTTGAAGTGAGTAATTTATCTGAGTTGAGACCTGTGGCTGTGGAAAAAGATGGTGGTAATAATGGATCGTTGATGAGTCCAAGGAAGACAACGGAGTCAGCTTGTGTTATTATCCCTCCAAAGATTTTCCATGTTGTTGATAAGCCTGTACACGAGTTTCTCGGTCATGGTGGTGATATACTTGATATCTCATGGTCCAAGAACAATGTGAGTTTGCTTTCTTGAACTTCCCTTTATTTTTGTTACATTAATGCTTTGAACCAAACTCTAGGTTGGCCTTCTCGTCTTAAAATGCTTCAAGAACTAGCTAGATCTAGAAACCTTTTTATCTTTATGTTTTGAGACCTATAAAAAAAACAAGAACGTAGATTCAGTCCATGTATGTGTAATCTTGAACAGAAAAAACTAGCTCATTCTGTGATATTGGTGGCAGCGTCTGTTGTCAGCTTCAGCAGACAATAGTGTTCGGCTTTGGCAGATTGGTCGTGAAGAATGTCTTGGAATCTACTCCCACAGTAACTATGGTAATCTTCTTCTCCCTCTTGTACAAACCTCATTGTTAGTCTAGTTGATTAGTCAATCAGACGAGCATTAAACCCTTTTGTTTTGTGTTTGCAGTAACATCTGTTCAGTTTAACCCGGTTGATGATGACCACTTCATCACCGGTTCAATAGATGGAAAAGTTCGTATCTGGTCAGCTTCTCACTGCCAAGTTGTAGATTGGGCCGATGCTAGAGGCATTGTAACCGCAGTTTGTTATCGCCCAGACGGACAGGTCTGTCTCACAACCAAAAGTACTTTTCTTCTTTTTGACACTGCTCAGATTCTCTTTCTAACACTAGAATACTTTAAACTATTTCAGGCAGTAATTGCCGGAACATTGACGAGCGAGTGTCGCTTCTACAATGTAACAGGTAATGATTCCTCCACAAGTTTCAGTTAACATTTGTCTCAAAGATCTGAAGTATAACACTATTTTCTCTTGTGTATGGTTCAGGCAACTGCCTTCAACTCGATGGTCATATATGTCTGCACAACAAAAAGAAATCATCAAATAAACGAATAATCAGCTTTCAGGTTCATATATTATTCTCAAATCAATACAGATCACATGATTAATCATCTTAGCTCATGAGCTAGTTTTTCTTCTTGCAGTTTGATTCCACTGATCCAAGCAGAGTCATGGTAGCATCCGCAGACTCACAAGTCAGAATCATCAGCGGTCGCAACGTTGTCCATAAATACAAAGGTAAATTATATTCCATCCATTTCATAATACTTGGAGGTTTAGGATAGACACAACTATCAAGAAACTTATTTTTAATCTAAATATTATGATTAAAATATAAATAAAAAACTGTTTAGCCAATTATAAAATATACTACAAAAATATCATTGGTTAAAGGTTACACAGTTTTTGATAAAATTAAAGTTTACATTAAAATATGTAAACATTATCTATTTTGAAACATCAAAAACTTCTTTAAACTTTAAACTTAAACATGAACAAAAAATTCAATTTGGAACTATAAAAGAATCTATTATATTAAAAGAGAAGTCACAACTTCTCTTCATGTATGATTTTTTTAAAAATGGACCCTTCCTTAGAAAAGTTGTTACCTTATCTTTTGTATTTATATAATAAAATCTTAACAACCAAATTTAATTTCAATTTTCATTCTCTCAATACATAAGAACATCTTAAAATTAATAATATATTTATATAAACATTTAAATATATGTTCAACGTTAAAAATATATATCACTAATGTCATAAAATAAATAACATATATAACATATGTATATTAAACTGAAAATAACACCCGCGCGGTTGCGCGGGTAAAGATCTAGTATTAATTTAAAAAGATTATACGGTAACTTGAAACGGGAGGAGTATTAACTTCAAGGTCACAGGTTCGAAACGCTGCGTATACAAATTTTTGAAATGAATTTTTATTTTGTAGGATCTCGAAACGCTGGGAATCAAATCTCGGCGTCTTTCACCAGAGACGGTAAACACATCATCTCCGCGTGTGACGACTCCTCCGTCTACGTCTGGAACTGCGTCGCACACGATCCCGAGCCACCTCCCTCTCCTGGTTTCTTCTCCCACACGAAACGAATCAAGATCCGATCATTCGAGAAATTCTCCGCCGACGTCTCCGTCGCGATCCCGTGGTGCGGTTTCTCCTCCTCCTCCTCCGGCGGATCCGAGGAGCTGTCTCCGTCGCTGTTCTCGCTGGGGAGAGAGTACGTCCTCGATTCCCCCAAGGGATCCGCGACCTGGCCGGAGGAGAAGCTGGCGAGCTCGTTCTCTCCGGTGAAGGCGATCCGGAGATCGCATTATAGGTTTCTCAGATCGTCGTGTAGGAGGACGGCGGAGGCGTCGCATCTCTGGGGGTTGGTTATTGTTACCGGCGGGTGGGATGGACGGATCAGATTGTTTCATAACTATGGCTTGCCTGTTCCCGTTTGAAAAAAAATCAACGGCTGCGATTCGTTCGCGTTTAAACGTCGCCGTTTGTATACATATATACTCGGCAGCTAGGTGAAGTGTGGTGAAGCTAGTCTGGTTTTTACACGTGGCGATGTTTATGAGTTTTGTATGGGCCGCGTTGGCCCGTTTTTTTGACCCGGTGGTTTGTAGCTGGGGTCTCACCAGGTCGGAGCTGAAGCCTTCAGAGGCATACAAGGGGATAGGGGTGGGCACGGATCGGATATCCGGGTTTTTTAAGGTATTTGTGATTTGCTTCGAATGTTACGGATATCTAATTTTAGTATTTGCTTTGCTTCGAAAAAATACGGATATCCGGAAAAACGGATATCCGGAAAATAAATAAATATTTGCGGATATTTACGAATATTTACGGATATCTCATCCATTTTAATTAGTACAAATAATCTTAAGATTTTGATACAAATTTGCTTTGCAAAAATATTTTTTGCATGATATGTAAAATAAAACTTAAAAGAACTAGTGAATTTACAGATTTTGTAATTTTTTAAAGTTTAAGTTACAAC